CCCAAATTGTAACAAAAGTACCTGTCCACTGAGTAGCAATAGTAGTCGGTGGCAATTACTGGGCGGGGCTGTGTGGCTAATGGAAGTTTAAATGGTCGCTTCCGTGCGCCCGCGCCTGCCTGGGTACAATAGCGAGAGAACCCTAGCTAAACCAGGTTTTTTGGGGTTCCACAGGTCATTGATGCACGCTTTCTTAGTCACAATGTCATGAGATACCAATATAAGTAGTTATTATATGTAGTTATTATACAACGAAAAGTAAAAGTATCTATTCACCAAAATAATAAAAAAATGCTTATAATGACGAAGTGACTATGTCGTCGCGTCAGCCCAAAATAGCGATTTTTGGTGTAGATTCCTACCTATTTCCCAGAGGACATTTATCGGTTGTTAATGATCCTTGTTGGAAAAAATCAAATTAACGAAGAATTGCCACGGTATATCTAAACGTACCACATACAAAACATGTCCACCGGGTTGACGGAACTCACGGAACCCACAAATCAATCACTGGCGGGCACTCCCTTGGCCGTCGTTCGTTTTTGTTCAAAGTGTCAAATTGTCCATTGTCGGGGCGCAATCATGTGGAAGACGGGGGGCACCTCTCTTTTACCGGTCAGCTAGTGAACAGAACTCTTTTTGCCATTTATTTGTGATTTTATGCCCGTTGCTGTAACCTGTAACAGGCGCAGATAAATAACATATCCCGAATTGGCAACATTATTGTTTGCTTCTCTAACATATTATCTATACTGTAACATGTTTGTACTGTAACATGTTTGTAACAATTTGTGTGTGTGTGTGTGTGTGTGGCTTTGGTTGCAAATAAATTGTTTGAAAATTTATCAGTCATTATGTGGATGGAGGATGTCAACAATATTTAATTCGGGATATATTCTTTAACTGCGCCAGTTATAGCTAAATTTTGTTTCGCATATTGTGGTTCGAGACAACTATCATAAAAATTACAATTTATGACATTCGCAAATCAGCATGTGTGTGGGATTAAGTACCTAAAGTACTTCTGTGAAAAAAACGGATCCAGCAAACCACCGGAACATCATGCGGTATTTACCTGTGAGAGCCACCGACATCCGCGAAAACTTCAGTACCGGTAGGTATCGAACAAAATTGTTGGTGTCATATTCTGATACCTATGATTAATCAGAACAATTTGACTGAATCATACGCAAATACAGTGCCTAAGTGCCTTACCAAGTTACCAGCAAGCAAGCATTTATCAAACTGGTGATTCTAGACATACATAAACAACTTTTATTATGGGGCCATCTACGGAATCAGGGAAAAATAACAGATAAATTAAATAATCGTCCCGGCGGTCGCTATTAAAATTTTTCAATTTTCTCATTATTTAAATTATGAGAATAATATAGCACTGTAAGTGCATTAAAAATTCCAATACAAAATAACAGATGTTCCATAGAAAATTCACCGATGCCCCATGTGTGTGCCCGTAGGTAAAAATTCACCAGTTAGAATATTAATTCTAACTGGCATTTGCCCGCTTGCCGGTAACATATACTTTATTGTTAACTAAGTACTTTTTACTGCGTTATTTACGAAAATCTGAAACATAAAAGTTTGCGAATCAAATGCTTCAGTTAGCTTAAGTAGCAGATAAAGTTTCGAGATTGGAATATTCAAAAAGCAATCTAAATATTAGTTTAGGTAATATGCATTAAAACTTTCTTGTGCATGCATCAATCGTTGCACCGGCGAGCGTAATTCTCAAATCGTGAGTTTGTATAAAAAGTGCGTCAAGAGCGAGTTGTACCTAAATGACTATGACTACCAGATATTTGACAAAGGTTATTTTATAAGTAGGTACGGTATACGAAAAACTTAAAAATGATGTTATATTCCAAATAAAAATAAAAATAATCCAAAACATTTTAGAGCATTTTTTTTAAATATGATGCTCCTGTATTATCTACATACTGGATGGTTCAAGTAAGGAAACCATTTAAGGTTGCGGCCGATGCAAGCGGCTGCGGCTATAGTCGTAGTATGAAAGTGTATGGCGCCGTTCGAGGGGTGCGACAGACTCGTGCGGTTGTGCGCCATACACTTTCATACTACGTCCGACTGTAGCCGCATCGGCAGCATATCACGAACTTGCACCTTTAGGCTTTGTTGAATTTTGTAACTATGTAATATGTGTTCTCTTTCGCCATTCATTCATTAGTTTTTTAATCTTTAACAGAACCCTAAAACAGAGCCCACTCTAGACTAGCTCGCTCGCTACCTGTGCTCGCTACTCGCTACACGCAAAATGGAAAACTTTGCCTTCTTCACCAATATTGCGATATGTTTTACAAGGCAAAGACCACGCGGCGGCAGATAGACTTTTTACAGTGCTCAATTTTGTTCACTTACTATGTTAAACCAGTTTGATGTCGATAGAAATACTTGACTGGCCGTAAGGACGAAGGTTTTGAGTTTTAGAGGGCCCGTTTTAGAGCCGTCTCGGTCCTGGTTGCTGATTAATTAAACAACATCATTTTGCATTATGCAAAGGTGTAGACAGACAGACTTGCAAAGATGTAAGTGGCGTAGATACTCTATGACGCTTAGCTTTGGTTTTTAAAAGTGCGGAGTTCAGGTTAAGTTGTTTGTAATTTAATTACAGGAGTGGCTCGGTAGGTACAAACCAGACGGGGAAAGTTGAGACTGTCCCTCCTGTGGCATGCTCTATGACGCTTGGCTTTGGTTTTTAAAAGCGCGGACTAGCGGAGTTGAGGTGAGGTTGTTTCTAATTAAGTCCAGGAGTGGCTCGGTAGGTACAAACCAAACGTGGAAAGTTGAGACTGTTCCTTCTGTGGCATACTCTATGACGCTTGGCTTTGGTTTTTAAAAGCGCGGACTAGCGGAGTTGAAGTGAGGTTGTTTGTAATTTAATTCCAGGAGTGGCTCGGTGCAGAACAGCCACGGAAAATTGAGACTCTTCCTTCTGTGGCATACTCTATGACGCTTGGCTTTGGTTTTTAAAAGCGCGAACTAGCGGAGTTGAGGTGAGGTTGTTTATAATTTAATTCCAGGAGTGGCTCGGTAGGTACAAATCAAACGAGGAAAGTGGAGACCGTTCCCTCTGTGGCATACCCTATGACGCTTGGCTTTGGATTTTAAAAGCGCGGACTAGCAGAGTTGAGGTGAGGTTGTTTCTTATTAATTCTAGGAGTGGCTCGGTAGATCTAGGTACAAACCAGAAATGGAAAGTTCAGACTGTTCCTTCTGTGGCGTACTCTATGACGCTTGGCTTTAGTTTTTAAAAGCGTGGACTAGCGGAGTTGAGGTGAGGTTGTTGTAATTTAATTCCAGGAGTGGCTTGGTGCAGAACAGCTGCGGAAAGTTAGGCATTATGCCTCAACTACGTCTGCCGGGATAATGCACTGCGATTCGATTGAAATACTATGTAGCTAGTTAGTAACTTTATTTTTTATTTTTACAATACAAGAGGCCGTAATTTTGCCAGCTGAATAGTATCACGTTCACAAAAAAAAAACTATTATTATTAGTTAGCCTACTTGATCCCATTGCTGGGCAAAGGCCTCCCCCGCAATCTTCCTCTCCTTTCGGTCCAATGCCACCGTCATCCACTCCTGCAAATATGTGTCGAGATCGCCACGCCAACGTTTTCGGGCTCTACCTCTACGTCTGGACCCGTTTTGAGGTAACCATTGTTGGGTGAAAATTTTTGCTGATTCTTTATTAATTAATAACAAAAAAAAAAAATTTTTTTAAAATCGGAAAATATTTCGAACTGAAGAGGAAAATGTAGACACCCTGATTATTTGTTATCGTCTCCTTCGTAAATGTTGTAAATATCGTCTGCGCGTGTCATCTTAGCGTCGTCATTATTGGCCCGTCGCTCCCCGCTCCCCGGGCCGTGGCTCAAACAAAGGGTGGTGCAAAAAGTTTGACAGCTTGTTACGGGAAATCACGGGACGGGACCTGTCCCGCCGTCCCGACCGCTAATTGGCTACCTGGGGGACATTCGGGACGTTTACGGGACTTGTTTGTTACGTGCGCTTTATTGGACTCAAGTGCACTCTGCGTCAGCTGCTTTTGGGGGTTAAACGCTCGTTATGTGAAGGGAACTTAAAAAGAAAAACATGCCTTTGATATTTAAACATTTCTGGCTGGACAGTAAAATGTTCAAAATTAAATTTCTACCACTGCCAGAGGTTAAGGTAAAATCACAAATACGCAGGGTGGAACTCCTATTTGCTGATCAATTTAGGGAGGTCAAGCTCTCGTTTGAATAAGGATTTATCATTTTATAGAAAGTCGCCATCGCTGATCAGCTGACCGGCAGGAAACACGGTTCGTTGCAAACGTTTGTGCACTTTTGCGCTTTCGTTATTTGATTTTTCACCTCAAGAGACAGAGAATCGAAGACATTCGCTTTATTATAAGTTCCAGCAAGGTAAGAAAAAGGACTGTCTTGGGCAAGTAAGTTCATAAGTAAATAGTTATAGCCGCATATTTGTTATTTAAACTCTCTCTCTTTGTGTGGGACACTAAGTCGTTCAACAACCCGATGAACCCTGGTGTCAGAGTTTTTCAACCGCCTACTACAATTAGCAGACCTCTGCCCTGGTTGTGTAACGACCGCCATCATAGACAGCAACCGGGACGAAGCACGGAAACAGAAATTTTATTATATTTAAATAATGCATAAAAATCAGCATTCAGCGCGTACCAGACACATCATGACATTATGAATGCAATAAAACGCGTTGTCCAAAACATGGTGATATTTGTTTTTTGTGTAGTGCATAAAAGGTGGCTAGTGATTGAATTACACGCGCGGGCGGAACGTCGCTCGCCGCGCCGCTCTTCCAGTAGGCTCAAAGAGTTTTATACAACTGCCTCGGTTCCTTATAATACGTTAGTAGTTAACATTTTCTACAGATGTCGCTAGATCGTCGCTTAGAAAACCAGCATCAAGAAACTGAATCTGGCAGGCATCTACCGGTGCATCGGTAGCTCAGCGGCAGAGCGGTGGGGCGTTAGGGTCAACGCATGCATGGGTATGCAGCCCGGGTTCGAGCCCCGGTTGATGCGTTAAATTATTTTTAAGCTCAGCTGTTTACCTCAGCCATGTCATGTTTGTCCATGTAGTCTGTTGTAAAATATCCCTGGATGCGTCTACATGCGGTTGCCTATAACTCCTGCTTCAATATCAGAGGAGCAGCAAATCGGTACAGTTCGTGTAAGTATTACCTACTTGGCATTACCTTTTCTTTCCCGCGGGTGTCGTAGAAGTGACTCGCGGTCTACCGACTAAAATCTAAACAATTTCTGAAAATGTTTGACGTAGGTATTTTTTATGGTCGTTGATTTGTTGCCCAATATCTGCACCTATGGTTGTTCATACTGACCTCAGCTTCAGCTAATGTGCCATGTAGTTCGTTGTACAACACTTTGTCCCTGCCCGCTACACCCGTTATGCATTCAAAGCGCGGGCGCCCGACCGACCAATTAATAACTTTTTACTTTGCCAATTTGGTACACACCACCGGAATACGGGAACGTGTCAATTTTTATACTTTTAATGCCTATTTGGCGTTGGTTGCACGATTTAATGAAATTTTTAGTTGGTTAACTGTACATAGTTGGTAGAGTAGGTAGAGTCCGACAACCTGCATTTATATTTATAAATTAATTGCGATCTACTCAATATAGCAAGCTTAAGTCGCAGTTAGTTGGAGACATCTGTCGTAAAACCGATGAAAGGTGGAGTTAGCGGAGTGGAGGCCACGCCTCGGCAAGCGTAGCGTTGGACGCCCTCCGGAAAGATGGACCGATGATTTCAAGAGAGGGAACGGTAGCAATTGAATGGCGAAAACAGGAGATTGTGCCTTGTGACCTATCTATCATGGGAAAAGCTTACGTCTAGCAGTCTTCTTCTTCTTTAGGTATGTCACTGGACCTAAGACGGTAGACAAAATTTTGTATTTCCAAATTTTTATGGCTACAGCTACCCTATTGTCCCGATAGCTAGAAGTGAAATGCTTGATAAACCTACCCAAACGATTTGATTATCAGCCACGATTTTTCCGGTCCATAAGTACCTACAAGTATGTTATTTTAGTATTTAGGTAAGCAGAACCGAATAGTCGGTTGTTCTACCAAAATAATTTGTGTTTCAAAGTTTGTGAAACTACTTCGTCGCCCGCACACGGCCGGAGGCGTATGCAAATATCTGCGGGTGCGATGGTTGTGGCGACAGACAAGTAGCAGGCGAAATAAGTAGCTGGTTATAAAGTACCAACGCTAAATACCTACTTGCTTTGTAAATGGAATGCAGGATGCAGATGTATTGTTGATGAGAGAGATTGCATTGGAGATTGCACTGAAAAAGAAGGTAGAAACTCATATTGTGTGACGAAAATAATTTTGAGCATAGCAGATTTAACATTCAGAGAGTCCGCTGTAGCCCGTATTTGGTGATGTCTTATTGTACATTCTTACATGGTTCTTTTACCGAATATAAAAACTGCCTTTTAACCGCCCAGAAAAAAGGGTAAGTACCTAGGAAGGAGTATGCACGAAACCCTTCCCATCCAAAAGCAGTTGTATTTATTACTGCTTATAGAACATGCAAAGTTTACTTAAGCACCTCAACTTGTATATTCCTCTTTCCGACCCTCTTGAGATTTCGCCTTTCGGCTTTCAGTGCGAAATAATTCAGCGCAAAAGTTTAAGAAACAAATACGGGATTATGCTGATTTAAAGCTGATTCAGAGTTCAAACCGGATCCGGCGCCGGATGAGCAAACCGGACGTCGGATCCGGTGTTCACCGGGTGACGACTTAATAATAATATAGTCCAGTGAATTAAAACAAAAGGATACCTACGAAAGACCTATTTGTAACAATTAATTGTTTCTGATAATTCGTTTCGGGTTATTGGCCTACTCGTTTATCAAGATACCTACGGTGGAAAATAACTATATAGTACGGCTTGTTAGTCGTGAGTACAGTCCCATCCGGAAGATGGCGTGAAACTTGGCATGCATGTAGCTTTAACACGTATAATTAATAATTTCGGGGGGGACAGGCTGTCAAATGAATGTTTAGGTTAACGTACTTTAAAGACCATTGTGGTGCAGAATTTAATGAAGAATATTTTACTCTTTGGAAGTTTTCATGTAACTTTAACCGTTTTCGAATTAAAGCAAAATAACTGAAATTTGGGACACAAAAAAGGGGGGGGGGGGAGGAGGGGAAACATTCATTTGACAGCCTGTCCCCCCCGAAATTATTAATTATACGTGTCAAAGCTACGTGCATGCCAAGTTTCACGCTATCTTCCGGGTGGGACCGTACCTTCATACAAGCTCTAGGCTAAGAAGCCGTACTAATAACCCGCTCGGTGTATTTTTGAAATGCTGTAGTTGGTGAAATTGAAATAAAATCCGCCATGGTGGCGCGGAGATCAGCAACACTCGAACCTGCTAATTTGCAGGTTAGGCTCATGTTTTACAGCATTCCACATTGGCTGCCGGCTGGTGACTGAAGTGGATGAAATCACAATAAAATCCATTCAAGATCAGCGACACTGGGACCTGCTAATTTTCGAGAAAATCTTAAGGTTTTGAGCGTTCTACATTGACTGGACTATCAGCCGGTTGGTGCCTGTAGTTCTTCTACTTTTCGAGTGGGACATCAAGCCATTAAACGACCAGATGAACCCTGGTGTCAGAGCTTTTCAACCGTCTAATGCAAGTAGGAAATGAAACTGCAGGATTTTGCTAATTTGCAAGAAAGGTTTGTTTTTTAGCTTTCCACATTGACTGGACTATCTACCGGCTGGTGGCTGTAGTTGATGAAATCACAATGAAATCCATCATGGCGCCGCCGAGATCAGTGACACAGGATTCTGCTAAATTGCAAGAAAAGTTTATGTTTTTTAGCCTTCTACATTGACCGGACTAACAGCCGGTTGGTGCCTGTAGTTCTTCTACTTTTCGAGTGGGACATCAAGCCATTAAACGACCAGATGAACCCTGGTGTCAGAGCTTTTCAACCGTCTAATGCAAGTAGGAAATGAAACTGCAGGATTTTGCTAATTTGCAAGAAAGGTTTGTTTTTTAGCTTTCCACATTGACTGGACTATCTGCCTGCTGGTGGCTGTAGTTGATGAAATCAATATGAAATCCATCATGGCGGCGCGGAGATCAGTGACATAGGATTCTGCTAATTTGCGAGAAAGGCTTTTGTTTTTCAGATCTCTACATTGACTGGACTACCAGCCGGCTGGTGGCTGTAGTTGATGAAATCACAATGAAATCCATCATGGCGGCGCGGAGATCAGTGACACAGGATTCTGCTAATTTGCGAGAAAGGTTTATGTTTTTCAGCTTTTTACATTGACTGGACTATCCGTTGGTTGTTGGCTGTAGTTGACGAAAGCACAATGAAATTCATCATGGCGGCGCCGAGATCAGTGACACAGGATTCTGCTAATTTTAGAGAAAGGCTTATGTTTCAGCTTTCTACATTGACTGGACTATCCGCCGGCTGGTGGCTGTAGTTGATGAAATCACAATGAAATCTATCATGGCACCGCGGAGATCAGTGACACAGGATTTTGCTAATTTGCGAGAAAGGGTTTTTCAGATTCCGGTTACTGATCAGGCTCAGCTGTTGGGTAATGAAGCTTTAATTCCTCGAAAACTTAAGTCTCATTTAAATACACATCACAATATTCTTGAGAATATTTTGGTACCGACAGTTTTATGCTTCTTATGGAGGATTAAAAACTTTTACACAGTGTTACTTGCAAAAATTGTGCACTTTTGTAGGTTGGTCTAATCTCTATTCAAGTCAACATAAGTGCAAATTATTTACCTTTGTACACGTTTGCTCACTAGCTGCATAACTGATTAATGGCTAAACAGCGCCGCCCACCGAATATTTTGTACCATTTCAGTGCAGATAGGTACATAATTATGTGGATAGTTACCATCAGAAGGCCACTGAAATGAGACAGCGTTTTCATCGGAAAATATGTTGGCCCGGAATTTCGTGAAGGTCTTCCCATCTTTTTAGACTTTCCTCAACATCAACGACTGAGGTCGTCTACCAGATGGCAACAAATGGTGAGCTGAAAGCTTGTCATCTGAAAGTCATCGCATTAAAGACACCATGACACAAAATATTTTGATTCAGGGATTTTTACCAATTCATGTTTTATCTTCCCGCAATCTTGACCAAAGACAGTCCGGTGGTAAGAGTCCTTTCTACTCTCCGCGAGCTCATGTCTTCGGGTTGCATCATAAGCGCGCAGAACGTTGATCGACCTTGTCATTCTAGTGAACATCCTAACTTAAATACTGAAACCCTGTATAAAATACATTGAAATCTATATCACCGAAACATTTTCATAAAACGGCCGGTGTGTCCACCCAGCTGTATAACAGATGGGCGTCACCCCCCCTTCCCCTTCCCGGCGCCGCCGCCGCCATTATTTCAGCGCGTTTACAAATGGCGGCCGTCGGCGCGCGCGCGCTGCTCCATTTTTCTGCGCACCGTACCGCGCCGCCTGATGGAGGTGCGGTCGCTGGCTGTACCGTAGGCTTGATGGTGCGCCATAGAGTAAGGAAGTCAGATGGTACAACAATATTATTAGCTGCTCCATTTTTCTGCGCACCGTACCGCGCCGCCTGATGGAGGTGCGGTCGCTGCCTGTACCGTAGGCTTGATGGTGCGCCGTAGAGTAGGCAAGTCAGATGGTACAACAATATTATTAGCTGCTCCATTTATCTGCGCACCGTACCGCGCCCCCTGATAGAGCTCTTTTGTTTGCTGGCTGTACCGCAGGTTTGATGGTACGCCTTAGAGTAAGGAAGTTAGATGGTGCGATAATATTATTTTCTGCCCACCATACCTACCGCTATACAAACCTTTTCAATTTGTGCGATAGGCACTTAGTTGATGCTTAGTACGTGACTTATTAATAGCCAGTATACATTGTCTCCCTACTTAATGAAAGATTTTTGCTCTGAAACAATATTTCAAGGCTCTAACGCTCTGCTCCTGATTAATGTCCTTTTCTTC